TCAACAGCCATGTCTAACACGTCATAAAATGCGTCAATATTCTCTGAACTATCTGCTGTTGGATCATAAATCTGTACTAAGTTGATGTCAAACGGTCTGCCGCGAAGTTTTACTAAAAGTACTCTATCAGATATTGTCCAAAATCCTTTCACAGTTTTTGAGTTCTTTGGATCCAAAATAATGCCAACTCCCTTACTATATTCCTTCCCACCCGATTAAATAATTCTCTGCTGATCTGAATACTTTTCCCCTGCTCCTGGCCATCGCATTTAACTAATTCCTAATATGTTGATATTCATTCTCTTCATTTCCATCTTGATGTTATCCAGCTTTCCGTTTTGTACAAGTATTCTGACATTCCATGTTCAAGATGTTTCTACCATTTACTTTTTCTACAGTAGCTGCATGACGGTCGGGTATCACCCGTAGAACATGATACCCCCTAACGGACGATGTGATTCCACCGGAATCCCCATTCACGTCGTTATCTGAATATGTATTATTTTGAGGTTATTTTAAGTGCTACCCCTAAATATAACCCAACTGTTGAACAGGGTTTCTGATCCTTGTGCCCTGTGATCCCCATCTGAATAGTAGCACTTTGTGTCGGTGGCTCGTGACGCGGTCCTGATGGGGTTGAATGTCTTTCGCTATTCAAACCCCACGCACCCTTTTTTAAACAAAGGTGCCGGTACTCATCACAATATTTATAAACAAAGGTGCCGGTACTTATCACAATAGTCCTAAACAAAGGTGCCGGTACTCATCACAATATTCCTAAACAAAGGTGCCGGTACTCATCACAATATTCCTAAACAAAGGTGCCGGTACTCATCACAATATTCCTAAACAAAGGTGCCGGTACTCATCACAAACTTCCTAAACAAAGGTGACGGGACTCACCAAAAGTTGTATATTACAGAAGCGCTGAAGAGAAAGCTCTGGTTATCGATCAGTGAAACCTGTAAGGTATTAACAAGTATAAAGTAGCAACGTAATAAAAATTGGCCCCTGTGGCTTAGGCGTTGCGAACGCTATTTGTAATGCCAGAGTGCCGGGTTTGTGACAGGGTGACGATTTGTCAGCAGATCGTTTGCGTTGGTTTCGACATTGATACCGACAGTCCACCTTTTCGATGAAAATGGCAAACTACTAAACGAAAATGTGTCCAGAAAAATAACATGAGCAACAACAACAACGAAAAAAAAATTATTTTGAATCGTGGGAATATTTCAGGGGAAAGCCATTGAGAAATAGAAATCAGAAGCCAAAGAGTCTTTCTTCATCGAGGAGCTATGGACCTCGAAGCTCCTAGAGCTAAAGCAGCAATGCAGAAAATACATGCTATGAAAGCACTGATACAAATCACCTGACAGATGCGGTGTCAATTCCCTGTCCACACAACACAGAAACTTTCGTTGCTAGAATTAGCCTTATTCGCCACCTGCGCAATCACAAAACCTAATCTAGTCACCAGTGGGTGAAAGGATTGGTCATCATCACCTGCAATGGAAGAACATCATTACTATTATTACTCTCTTGAACAAAGCTTGAAACAATAATTGAAACCCGCTGCTACATTTGTAAGAGGCTGCATTAACACTCACTCGCCTTCCACTTGTTCTCCCATGAAAGCCCAAATAATTTATTTATGTCGGCGCCTCTGAAAGCAGGGTGTCTGTTTAGTACAGGAGGGTGGGGGAGGGGGAGAGGGGTTGTGTGTGCCGCTGATCAACTGATCAGGAGAAGGGGTGTGTGTGAGGGGGATTTGGTGAATGAACTATTCAGTGTTCTAAAGCACACGACGCCCCAGGTCTCACGAGGAGTTCACAAGTACACTTGAGCTATTTTAGGTAGGTAGTCAAACCGGCGGATAAACTGACACGTGAAAAAGGACAGACAGACAGACAGACAGACAGACAGACAGACAGACAGACAGACAGACAGACAGACAGACAGACAGACAGGCAGACAGACAGACAGACAGACAGACAGACAGACAGACAGACAGACAGACAGGACAGACAGGACAGACAGGACAGACAGACAGACAGACAGACAGACAGACAGACAGACAGACAGACAGACAGACAGACAGACAGACAGACAGACAGACAGACAGACAGACAGATAGACCGACAGATAGACCGACAGACAGACCGACAGACAGACCGACAGACAGACAGACAGATAGATAGATAGATAGAAAGATAGATAGATAGATAGATAGATAGATAGATAGATAGATAGATAGATAGATAGATAGATAGATAGATAGATAGATAGATAGATAGATAGATAGATAGATAGATAGATAGATAGATAGATAGATAGATAGATAGATAGATAGATAGATAGACAGATAGATAGATAGATAGACAGACAGATAGATAGACAGACAGATAGATAGATAGATAGATAGATAGATAGATAGATAGATAGATAGATAGATAGATAGATAGATAGATAGATAGATAGATAGATAGATAGATAGATAGATAGATAGATAGATAGATAGATAGATAGATAGATAGATAGATAGATAGATAGATAGATAGATAGATAGATAGATAGATAGATTAGATAGATAGATTAGATAGATTAGATAGATAGATTAGATAGATAGATTAGATAGATAGATAGATAGATAGATAGATAGATAGATAGATAGATAGATAGATAGATAGATAGATAGATAGATAGATAGATAGATAGATAGATAGATAGATAGATAGATAGATAGATAGATAGATAGATAGATAGATAGATAGATAGATAGATAAATAGATAGATAGATAGATTGATAGATAGATAGATTAGATAGATAGATACACAAAGTCTCTCCTTCTTCTTTTTTTTCCTTCTTCTTTTTCTTTGTCTTCTTCTATTTCTTTCTTTCTTTCTTTCTTTCTTTCTTTCTTTCTTTCTTTCTTTCTTTCTTTCTTTCTTTCTTTCTTTATTTCTTTCTTTCTTTCTCTTTTTCTTTTTCCTTTCTCCGAAATTTCTTTAGCTTTTCAATCTCAGGTTTTAAAGAGGTATGTGGCGGGAGTCTTAGCATATGTTACCTTGGACAGAGTATCCCAACAAAAGTATATGCCTTATGACAGCTTATGAAATGTAAGAACATGCGGTGAAATGCACCTAGCCTGTAGTTTAAGAAATAAAACTCCAGTATTAACACACACACACACTCAGATGGGGAAATGTCATTTCTTGTTGTAGTCATGGCTACCTCCACCGTCATTATCATCATCATTCTGATCATCATCATGTCTCTCTCCAGCCTCATATCTAAAACAAAATGTTGCGGTTCATGCGCTGATCCAAAATAATCCCCTACACGCCCCCCCCCCCCTTTCCCCCTTTCCACCTCTCTATGCCATGACAAAAGGCTCACAAATATCCTCTTATGTTGTCGTCCCCTATCTCTCTTTCAACAAATCTTTCCACTGGCCATATAATGTCCCATTTTTCACCTTCAGTGTATGCAGGCGTTGTTGGTAATGAAAGAGCTGATAGACTCGCAGGTGCTGCAATAATTGAAGATGGCCGGCCCATGGATCACGCAGACATTGTCATTGCCCTTAAAGAGCTACGACGTTCCGAGTATTTTGGAAGCAACGTGTCCATATCACTGCTAAGAATACGATAATTGGGAGTAAAGATCGACACAGTCAAGCATGAGAAGCACACCGGACGCACACGAAGTCTTGTTAACCAACATAGGACTGGCACTATTAACCGCGCGACGCTGATGAATATGTTGAGAGGGGAATCTGAGCACCTATGGATGTGTCCAGAGTGTTGTGAAGATAATCTAATAACTCATAACTTACCTCCCAGTTTTCGTATTTTTCTCATAAAGTGGCCACAAAATTACGAACGTTGAAATATCTACCCATAGCGGAAATATATTTTATATTTTAGTCCGCAGTCCTGAGAGGATTATCGCGGGTATCACATAACTGGTCCAACCTCAGTCCGTCTCTAACAGCAAACAGAGGAATGGTGTGGAATTTCTTTGCGTTCGTTTCAGTATTGACTTAGAGGGAATATAGTTAGTCTGTTGGTTAGTCAGTCAGTCAATCAGTCAGTTAGTTAGTTGGTTAGTTAGTTAGTTAGTTAGTTAGTTAGCTAGTTAGTTAGTTAGTTAGTTAGTTAGTTAGTTAGTTAGTTAGTTAGTTAGTTAGTTAGTTAGTTAGTTAGTTAGTTAGTTAGTTAGTTAGTTAGTTAGTTAGTTAGTTAGTTAGTTAGTTGATTAGTTAGTTAGTTAGTTAGTTATTTAGTTAGTTAGTTAGTTAGTTAGTTAGTTAATTAGTTAGTTAGTTAGTTAGTTAGTTAGTTAGTTAGTTAGTTAGTTAGTTAGTTAGTTAGTTAGTTAGTTAGTTAGCTAGTTAGTTAGTTAGTTAATTAGTTTGTTTGCTTGTTAGTTGGTTAGTTAGTTAGTTAGGAAATAAGCATGCACTCCGGACATGTCCATAGGTGCTCAGATCCTTCCTTCAAAATCTTCTTCTTCTTCTTCGCGTTCACCATCTGTGAACTCTGGCGGAAAGTTCTGGTTGTTTATCCACTTCTGGACTGCAGTCGTGTTCTAGAACCTGAGTGTTATGTGTGCATCCGTTTTACAGATCTGACTGATTTATGCAGACTGCTAGTTCCTCTCCTCTGAGGTGGATGCAATCCGACTTCGAAGTAATTTCCAAATTTGTCGACTCTTACGACATGTTTTTTTGGTAGGTAGTGGGTCTATTCTTGTTTTCTATACAATATGGCACCAGAACCAACACGTGGAAGGCCTTAAATATGAGTACCAGCGTCCTGTCACTAACAGTGCCAGTTCTTTGTAGAATGATAAGTATTTTTGTATGCCCGGTTTGTCTCTTGCTGTTGGCTCTAACGATCTTAGGTTCTGAGTCTTTCATTCTGATGAGCGATGTGGAATCGATGTCATGAAGGTCCTCCACCCTTCGCATTTCTCTGAGGGCAATAATACTATCAGCATGATCCATGTGTTGACTGGGAATATATCTTGGCGGGAACACGTTTGCTGCCCTTTTCCTACAGCTCTTTCCTACAGCTCTTTCCTGCAGCTCTTTCCTGCAGCTCTTTCCTACAGCTCTTTCCTACAGCTCTTTCCTACAGCTCTTTCCTTCTCTTTCCTACAGCTCTTTCCTGCAGCTCTTTCCTACAGCTCTTTCCTACAGCTCTTTCCTGCAGCTCTTTCCTACAGCTCTTTCCTGCAGCTCTTTCCTACAGCTCTTTCCTACAGCTCTTTCCTGCAGCTCTTTCCTACAGCTCTTTCCCACATCTCTTTCCCACATCTCTTTCCCACATCTCTTTCCTACAGCTCTTTCCTTCTCTTTCCTACAGCTCTTTCCTTCAGCTCTTTCCTACAGCTCTTTCCTACAGCTCTTTCCTGCAGCTCTTTCCTACAGCTCTTTCCTACAGCTCTTTCCTGCAGCTCTTTCCTACAGCTCTTTCCCACATCTCTTTCCCACATCTCTTTCCCACATCTCTTTCCTACAGCTCTTTCCTTCTCTTTCCTACAGCTCTTTCCTTCAGCTCTTTCCTACAGCTCTTTCCTACAGCTCTTTCCTGCAGCTCTTTCCTACAGCTCTTTCCCACATCTCTTTCCCACATCTCTTTCCTACAGCTCTTTCCTACAGCTCTTTCCTAAAGCTCTTTCCTGCAGCTCTTTCCTACAGCTCTTTCCTACAGCTCTTTCCTGCAGCTCTTTCCTACAGCTCTTTCCTACAGCTCTTTCCTGCAGCTCTTTCCTACAGCTCTTTCCCACATCTCTTTCCCACATCTCTTTCCTACAGCTCTTTCCTACAGCTCTTTCCTACAGCTCTTTCCCACAGCTCTTTCCCACAGCTCTTTCCTACAGCTCTTTCCTACAGCTCTTTCATACAGCTCTTTCCTACAGCTCTTTCCTGCAGCTCTTTCCTACAGCTCTTTCCCACAGCTCTTTCATACAGCTCTTTCCTACAGCTCTTTCATACAGCTCTTTCATACAGCTCTTTCATACAGCTCTTTCATACAGCTCTTTCCTACAGCTCTTTCCTACAGCTCTTTCCTACAGCTCTTTCATACAGCTCTTTCCTACAGCTCTTTCCTACAGCTCTTTCCTACAGCTCTTTCCTACAGCTCTTTCCTACAGCTCTTTCATACAGCTCTTTCATACAGCTCTTTCATACAGCTCTTTCATACAGCTCTTTCCTGCAGCTCTTTCATACAGCTCTTTCCTACAGCTCTTTCATACAGCTCTTTCCTACAGCTCTTTCATACAGCTCTTTCCTACAGCTCTTTCATACAGCTCTTTCCTGCAGCTCTTTCATACAGCTCTTTCATACAGCTCTTTCCTACAGCTCTTTCCTACAGCTGTTTCCTGCAGCTCTTTCCTACAGCTCTTTCCTTCTCTTTCCTACAGCTCTTTCCTTCTCTTTCCTACAGCTCTTTCCTACAGCTCTTTCCTATAGCTCTTTCCTGCAGCTCTTTCCTACAGCTCTTTCACACAGCTCTTTCCTGCAGCTCTTTCCTACAGCTCTTTCCTTCTCTTTCCTACAGCTCTTTCCTTCTCTTTCCTACAGCTCTTTCCTACAGCTCTTTCCTATAGCTCTTTCCTGCAGCTCTTTCCTACAGCTCTTTCACACAGCTCTTTCCTACAGCTCTTTCCTACAGCTCTTTCCTGCAGCGTTTTTAGTCTGTTTTATGTAAACTGTAAATTGCTAGTGCGATCTCTGAGGATCTTAATGCCATTGATTATTGATGTATCTTGAATGCTGAACTCAGGACACTCCCCATCTTCTGTAGCAAGAGAAGAGTTCCAGTTCTGATGGCACCAGTAATTGTCTGACTGTGTATCGGTCTCGCTTTTCCCTTGAGTGTTGAGCGTCGGCCAGATCCCCTTGTTACTCCTCGCATCGTCATTCTCTTCAAACCGTAACGATCTGTCTGTGCCTCCGCACTGTTCAATTGCTCCCAAAGGGCCCTCACAACATCGAGCTTGTCACACACCAGTTCACCACCAAGTAGTGCAGAACCGGACAGTCTATCTCCTGCTCATTTCCGAACACACCCGCATAACCTGGAGAAGATATTCAACTGATGCTAACTACTTAGGACCTCTAAAAATCTGCGCAGAGCATGTCTGTCTCCACCTTTCTCAACATCCTCTGTGAGTCAGTTGCAAGCACAGCATGTGTGTACAACTGATTCTCAAGCCAACAGAAGGCAACAGTGGCTGCCTCCACGCCCCATTCTCAAACTAGGCGTGATATCATATTCCAGATTTTGCCAATGATTAATGTGTGTAGCGTTGGGCAGGTGCGCGGCCATAGAGACAACACTAAAGGTATTTGCTTAGACTGACCCCCCCCCCCCCCCCCCCCACCGCCCCATCCCTTTTTCTCCTCTAATAATGTTCTTGTAAGGGCTTAAGCGTTGTTTATTTGCAGTTTAATAATAGTAATTATAATAATGTCAGTTATAGTTATTTATTGCGCAGTTAAATAAGGCTTAAACACATGGAGGACCTAGAAAGACGGGGGAAAAGGGGGGGGGGAGGGGTATAAGCTTTATTTACTTGCGCAATAATAGTCATAACAATAATTCAAATAATTAATATTATTATTATTATTATATGCTGAATGTCAAAACATTATTTTCTGAAATTATATGAAACGTTTAAAAATGCTTACACTTTTGTATATGGTGAGGTGAAAGGTTTGTGGTGGGGGAGGAGGAGGAGATACGATGCTTTCTAAAATTATGGGCAGTAGGGCTGCTCAGTCCTATGTAATAGTGGGGAGGGGGGGGGGTGTCTAATTCTTCTTTGGTTCCAATGTTAGGGCGCCTATGGCATTGACGGGTTTGAAGATGTTGCAATACACTACAGCGGTTGTTTATTCCCTCCCCCCCCCCCCTTTTTTTTTTGTATAGCCAATGTATTGTTAGTTAAAGTTAGTTGCATATCCTTTACAGGACGCTGTAGAACCAACCCCAGCATTTAATGGCTGTTGTGGCTTTTCTAGGCAAACTTTACGTTCAGTAGCTTGCCATTGCTTACTGAACAGTAAGCTCTCGGTACCACTGTCGAAACCAGCGCAAGACAAATCGTCTCGGGCAGGGATCGAACCCGGTACCCCTGCACTACGAAGCGCGCTCGCAACGCCTAAGCTACAGACGCTAATGCATTATGGCGTAGATAATCATTTTCAGTCTTTTGCCTGGTGGACGAACACTCATTTCTGATACAGGTATTTTAGTTATATGATGTCGAACTGTCGTATATCTTATGTATAATAAACAAACAGACGTATGGTAAGGCGCTCTCACGAAGACAGAAGGTCATGCTAGATAAGGGTTATTCCAATATGTTCACTAATGGATCACACTTTTTAAAGTAGGGTCCATCAAAGACCATAGGCCCGAGTCTCCGCGTAGAGAAAAGTAGTAATGGCAATGATCTGGCTGAAAATGTGGCTCTGATACCAACATAAGACCGAACGTCGAAATAAAATCACATCTGGATTATATTGACAAAGAATTCAATGGTTTAACCATCTAGGGTCAATGCAGCCAGCATCTGTGGGGTGACCCGTTTGCTATGAAGCTGAAACTAGGATTACCAGATTACCAGATTACCAGATTACCAATGCAGCCAGACCAAACTGCATGCTGTCTGAGACTTTTTACAGCAGAACATCTGGGAGGAAGGCAAGAGGAAGGCCAAGAAAGAGATGGGCAAATAGTGTAGCTGATACCTGTAAGAAGAAAAAAAATATATATCCCTTAAGCCACCTGAGAAGCGAGAATAAATACAGAAAACCACCACACTTGGCAGTAATCAGTGAGCCGACAAAAAACGAAGAGGAATGATCTGCGGGTCACTTGCTAGGCCTCCGCGGGCCATATTTTACCCGCGAGCCGCCAGTTGGAAAGCCCGGCACTAGACCAAATAAATATTGAAAGCTCTAATTATGCACGAAATCGAATCTGTCACCTCAAAACGAGGCTGACTAGATGGCTATGCGTTTTAGTACACTTGTTCCTGCAGGGAGGATGATGTAAAGCGTTACGACGCTTGGTGGTGACAAACGCGATTCCTGGTATAGCAGTCGATATTTATATTTACTCATCGCTATGAGTGCCAATCAATGCAAATATATTTAAAAAGGTAAAAGGTAAAGTCGGGAGATGTGAACCAGCGTCATTGCACACGGTTATAAACCATAAGTGCTCTGCCACCAGTACGGACATCTGATAAGAATTGTCCGCCTGTGTCGCCGTCTTCACGTAACTCTGTAGCTACAGCCACATTTCTCAATTTACCCCAGAGTGTTAATTCTGGTACCCATTTCCTAAAGGCTGGGTGAATTCCAGGAACCGCCCGGTTTCGATCACTGACTGTGGGCTGCAGCAAGTCGCAGCTGGATTTGAAAGCGAGCCTCTTATCGACCGCGCTAATGCGGCCCCGCAATATTTATTTGTTATATTATGTAAAGGTTCTACGGCCTCAAGGGCCCACTTTCTTTCAAACCCTCCCCCCCCCCCCAACCCCCTGTGTATTATCTTGTATTGTAGTCTTTCTCTGGCTTATATCCACGTCAATTTCCCATTGTCAACACGAAGGCGTAAAATTTTCCCCTTTCAGAGGTTTGATGATTCAACAACGGACCAATATCAAGAAATACGGGCAGTAACCCATAAGTGCTCCGTTCTTCTTCTAACTCAAGTCTGAGTCCGAAGAAGCTCAGCTCAGTGCACAGGCTCTGTAGCACCGTCGAGAAACCTGAAATACTTTGGGTAGATTTTAAACTCCAAATTTTGCCCGGGCTGCGCCGTTAGGCTACTCTTTTCGATTTCCAACTGCCAGGGGATTTTTTTACGTGCGCAACAATGTACATGGGCGTCCGATCTCACTACCCAGAGACCAGGGGGGATTTCCTGGAAGGCCAAGTCTACGTGAAAAAATCCCAGCTCTTACCGGGGATTGAACCCGGAACCTCTAGCACTCGAGGCGTACACCATGCCTCGAAACCACACAGCCCTCTTTCCTTCTCATAGCCTGCCAAAAGCTGGATTTGTCTCTTTGATGCAGATTATCAGATCTTTGTTTTTTTGTGTGTAAATTCTGAGAACTTTTGAGAATCAACCTTATTCAAGATTTCTACGATTGTGACTCTTTCAGTCAAAAGAGATGTATAAGGTGTGCTTTGCTATGCACCCAACATTCCAATCACGTCATCATTCTTTCACTTCTTATATTTGGTCACAATATACTGAGAAAATCTGGCTCCCAGTCCGATCCAGCCTTGAGTGGGTACCAAGTACAGTCCTGAGAAGTAAATGCGACCTGCATGATACTGACCACATCACCCACCAAATATAGATCTAGCCCTATATGCCCTTATTCACTGAAAGCACGAAAAGGGGTCCTTAACTTTTTTACTTGCTTTTATAGATTGCACTAATAGATTTTTCGCAATTCGCTTGGTCCATTGCGCGGCTGATTCTTGTTTGTTTGTTTGTTTTAGTATCCAGAAGCCATGAGTTGTTAACCCTTAGGCTCGGTATTATGGATATCGCAACCTCCTTGATTCCATTGTAAATACCGTAAATCTGGGAGAAAATGTGGCTTTCCTGCCTACCCCCGGGATTGAACCCGGACCACAAGGAGTTCGTCACCCGGTCTCAGCGCAATCCGGTTTAGCCAACTACGCTAGAGAGCCAGGCGCGGCTGATTCTTAAAATAACCCACATTATAATTACACGTCTTACAAGTTTGGCTGGTTTCAAATGTCTGAAATTAAGTTTTGGCTGCTCCTTATTTGACTTCGGAACGTCTGGCCCAGAGAACTCATAAGCCAGGGAAACCAAGCCTGTCTGGTCCTACAAAGAAAATGGAGTTAAATGTGTGGCCAAAAATAGCAGATTAATTTAATTGGTTGATTTCGTTAGATATTTTTTCTGACGCTGTTTTAAGACATCAGAACATATGTATGGCTCCCAAAAAAAAAAAAAAAAAATAAAAAAAAAAAAAAACAGATTATCAACAGCTTATGCATACTCAAACTGAACTAGTACCCTCTTGAATATGATCAGAAGCTAAACTGTGTAAAATTAATAAATGTGAGATATTATGCCTGAGAAATGCTACCAGCTTAACCAGCTGTGAAACTGAGAAATGACACTGTAAGACAGACGGCGGGAACAGCACCGTGCATCAAATGCACTGAGAACAAGAAGTTAAGATGGTTCGATCATGTAAGAATGCAGCCACAACGACTACCAACACATGAACTACATCTAGGAAGATCTGGCATGAAAGTAAAAGCGGGCAGAAGGATAAAATAGACTGATGACATAAAACACATTCTACAAAGAAGCTAAATGAAATCGACCCGGAATGACATCGACAGGGAATGACATCGACACAGAATAACATCGACACGGAATGACATTGACAGGGAATGAC